GAGTAATACGCCTTCCCCACTAAAACATTTTTAATTTTGGTTACAAAAGCCTTATAAGGTAAGCTTCTATAACCACAATGCAAGACATTGAAGAACTTCACTCCATAGTAATTATATGCGTTTCTCGACCTCTCCAGTCGCAGTGCCTCCGGTCGAATGTCATTCCTCCCCCTAGTGCCATAATTGTGAACATCACTATTTTTCCTGTGCTGACTATGATGTAAAAAAGTGAGCTTTAAACATTCCAAAATATATAATGAAGGAAGTGTTAATATTTTTAATTTGATAAAAGAAGGCCTACAGTCATCAGTATAGTTCAAGTTAGCAATATTTCTAATAGCTCTTCTTTGTATCCCAAATATTCTTTTATTGATCGGGGCATGTCCCCAGGCCAGTAACCCATAACTTAGATGGCTCTGAAAAAGCGCAAAATACGCGGAACGCAATACCCGAGTAGAGGAAAACTCAGACAGACGACCCAACAGAAAGGCAGTGGAGCTTAAGCGTGAGGCTAATTTCTCACCATGAACATTCCAGGTAAGCCCGGAATCCAGATGAACACCCAAAAACCTGACTCCTCTATCCGCTACATAGGATTTAATAGTAGTTTGCTTTAGTGTAAAGGTCATTACTTCTGTTTTATCAGCATTCAGTGTTAGACGATTACTTGCAAACCAATGCCTTGCCGATTTTAACATTAAATCTTGCAATCCCCTGGCATCAACGTCAGAATCATGTTTTGTCAGCAAACTTGTGTCATCCGCATACAAGATTGAACTTGAGCTTCCACCACTCAGGAAAAAAGGCAAATCATTTACATATATTAAGAATAAAATAGGACCCAAAATTGACCCCTGAGGAACACCACTTGTAATGTTCCCAGGGTTAGACATCACCGAGTTAAATTTAACAAATTGACTTCTATTTGTAAGATAAGATGACAAAAGCTTGCAAGCGTCCGGGGCGACATTGTAAGCGTACAATTTACGTATTAAAATAGAATGGGACACGCAATCAAAAGCTTTGGTAAGATCCAAAAAACTAGCTTCAGTGTATTGCGACGCCTCAAAACCATCGACCACATACTCGATAAAATTTTGTATAGCCAGTGCCGTAGAGAGTCCTTTTCTAAAGCCAAATTGTTGTTTGTTAAAAATATTATTAGTTTCAAAATAATTGATTAATTGATTTTTCAATAGCATTTCAAAAATTTTTGACAACACTGGCAGTATACTAATTGGTCTAAAGTTCGAAGGATCATCAATATCACCTTTTTTGAATAGCGGCAAAACACTTGCCAACTTAAATTTATCAGGAAAACATCCTGTGTTTAAACACTGATTGAAAAGAGCAGTAAGTCCTGGGATCAGACAGTTTTTGACCTTTTTTATCATGACCGCATTTAAACCAAACGCATCAACCGATTTGCCAGGCTTAAGGGCGTCAAAGGAATCCCGTACCTCCACCTGTGAGAAAGCTTTAAAGGTAAAATATTCCCTATTTGTGTAATTGACATGTTCTAAGAGAAACGACAGCGGATTTTCGTCCCCTTCCAAATTATTAGCCAATCTATCCGATACATTTAAAAAGAAATTATTAAGTTCATTCGCGTCTAAATTACTATCCTTTCCATCAGCATTCCCAGAAGACTTATAGGTATTAATTATTTTCCATATAGTTGCCGGTTGATTTTTATGATTGATGATGTAATTCACTGCTAACCTGTATGCTTTACGACATTTATTTCGTTCAATAAGTACGTACGGATTTTTATTGATTCTGTATAATTCACAAAGAAAAGTAAGTTTTTCTTTATGTTGCCTAAGTTGTGAGTTATACCAAGCTATATTCAGTGAATCACGATTACGAGTATCTTTGACAGTTATAGTAGGGAAAGCGATCATAGCCGCGTTTCTCAAAAAGTCAATTAAAATATTAGTCTTATAATTGGGTGGAGCTCCATATCTTTACAAAAACTAAGGTCATACCCACAAACATTATCAAAAAACGTTTCCAAGCCCCTTACTGTTATAGAACTGAACGTTCTATAAATATTACTTTTATTAATTTTGGGAGTCTGAAACTCAATGATTAAAGCCATATGATCTGAAGTACTAAAGTATCTATTACATTACAAGTGACTGGATCAGTAAAATTCACGAAAAAATTATCTAGACAGTTTTGCAACCTAGTTGGTTCCACAAAACTTGATTTCAAATTAAAGCTCCTTAGAAAGTCGAGCATCCTCAACGTTTTTTTATCATTTGTTCCAAAGTGAACATTAAAGTCACCAACTAGAAAGATATCAGTCCGCTTTCTAATTAGTGACGTCATCCCCCTCGAGAGCACCTCCTCAAAGCCATCCAAGTCACCGGACGGGGGACGGTATACACCAATTATAGTCAGCTCAAGATTCGGTATGTAAACACCCGCTAATTCACACTCCATTTCTTTTGAATTTTCAGCAATGGCGGTTTGTGTTCCTCTGCAGGCAGAGGAACACAAACGACATTATCCCAAACCAGTAACGCGACCCCACCACGTCCATGAAATTTTCTGCAAAAAGAGGTGACGTGATTATAGTTGAGAATTGACAAATTTTTAATTTCATCAACTGTGAGCCAGTGCTCGCAAATACATAGCACAACTGGTTTTACATATAAATTATCCAAAAAGGTCTCAAGAACAGTACATTTATTTTTCAGTCCTTGTATATTTACGTGCACCATCGACAGTTTTGAAACTGAACAAGATTGAGTATTAGGATTTTTGTTATTAACATTTATATTAAGTTTATTTGACTTGTTAAAATAATTGACATCAGTATCCCCACTACCACTGATCGAACACCGATCGAACAAAGCATCAACAGTGACATCACCGACACAATACGTCATTTGAATACGTTCCGGGAGTGAGAGTTATTAAATTATGGTTATTAACATCATGAGAATTTTCAAACATAGGTTTATCCAAGTACTGGTTAATGAGGCCAGTCAAATTTTTACATAATTTAATTGTTTCTAGTTTAGATAAGTGAATACTTATAACATTAGTTATTCTACGAGTGATTATTGTATTTAAATCAAGATAATATAAATATTTCGGCCTTTTCATACAATGATTAAAAAGATGCAGATTAAAGTTATACACCCTGCCAGAAGTATGATGATCCATGTAAGGAACACCGCATACTATAACATTCGTATGGGATAACTGAGCTGTAATTTTATGAAAAGCATGTTTATCAAACCCCTTGGACCCGAGAATGTCGTTTGACCCTCCCAAAAAAATGACAAAGTCAGACTTCCCAAAGTCATTCGTGAGGTTTTTTGCATTATTAATTACGTCAAGTAATAACGCATTTGGTTTGAAGAAAACTTCGACGTCAAGATTGGTATCAAATAGAAATTTACTTAACTTATTGGACAAATTTCTGCCCTGGCTATCCCCAAGCAGTAGCACTCGTCCTTTATTAGCCGACACCGATGCCCCACTCATGATCGGACTCCTGAGCGAATCGTGACAGGACATCGGCGTTGGTGTTACGGAGCAGACAATCTTTTATAAGCCGCGCTTTAAAAACCTTTTTCTTCATATGAAACCGCGGCTTCTAACGGAAAAACATGGTAATGTGATTTAAAAAAGGATAAAATGTAGGTAAACTAAAGAAAAGTTGTTTTTTTTATTCCTTTAAAAAGTTATATAAAATGGTTACATTATATAGAGTACATATATAGAGTTTTTCTTATGATTAACACAACAACAATTAGTTTTTATTAGTTTAGGTACTATCGGCCAAACCTTATTTACTACATGGCGTAAGGGACAGAAAACAAATCCCCCGCACGGTCGCTTTGCCGAGTACGGCCGAAGAATCGAAGACTGGAGGGGCGTACTCATTTTCTCTCGAACCTTTGCTCTAGCCTTGTCGTCTCTTCAACCCTGAAGTGCCGGGCGCCCGATGCCAGCTTAAAGTCGAGCGCGCCTTGGATTCGAACAAAAATACACAATTTCGTTTTTACAATTCAAATAACTGTACCAATGTTATGACGTAGTCGATTTTAAAAATTCATAAAATAGTCAAATATATTCATTAAAATAAAATAATTGAACTTTAATAAGTGAAAAAAATTGTTTCTTAATTTTAAATACGTTTCTGTACTGTATATCTTCGTAAAGTTAAAGAATTTAGTTAAAATTCGATGTAAAAATCGTCTCTTAATTTCCATTAGTAATATTTTTTTTCTAATCTCATTTAAAATGGCATTTTAACCGTTTAATATTATAGAAAGTCTCAATAATTTCAAGCCATTTACGACCATTAATGCGTTTACGCACCGTTTCTTCACATTTTTTTGCGTATTTTTGACATAAGGCTTTTGCGAATTTTTTTTTCTTGAGTTGATATATTTTTTTTGTAATAAGTCTTAAAATTTTACAATAATTTCTCACCTTCATCGTAAATGGGTAAACAATAAACTTTTTATTTTTTGTACACTTTAGTAATGTTAAAAAATTTATTACCTTATTCACATAAGGTAATATAAAATTTCTGTTGAAACTACCTGTAAACTGAATTTTATAGATTGTTATTTATGAGCATGATAATATTCCATATTATAATGAAAAACCATTTGATTTTGAGTATATAATTCATTTATTTACAAAGAAAATTTTATTAATAATAAAACATTTTATTATATATATATTTTTTTTTTTTTTTCGCAGAGGAGGCGAAAATGCCTTACGCACCCCGGCCTACTGATGGCGCCTATAGTTCGTGGGTCGGAAAAATCGTATTTCGGCCGGGAGTGTGGGACTACAATTAATTAGCCCCTGCTACCCACTAAATACCCCCCTCTCTTCTCCCGGACCACCCGGATTTCTGCGGAAGTCGTTATATCCAGGATTCAATTGCAAGAAAAAAAATATTGATGGTTACTATTAATTTTATTAAGGTTGTCTTAACTTACCGGCTTTGGAAGGGGCTCTTCATCCCGCGGGATGAAGAGTTTTATCTTTTTCGTCTTGAGGACCACAGCCAGGTATGCGCTTATTGTTTCTCACTTGATATTGTCGGTCAGCATTGAAAAAATTAAAAAGATTTCATCAAATATTAAGAACAGTTTAATAATAAAAATTATACCTACTTAATAATGAATAAAATTTGTTATGTCAAAATTTAATAATGGGTGTATAACCTGTTATTATTTTGACATTCTTCTAATCGGGATGTCATTGAGCCGACCAATCGCTGACATAAATCCCCGCCACGAAGACTATCCCATTTCCGCATAACGTATTCTTCTAAAATATAATTATATATATAAAACGTTACAATAATAATAAATAAATATTAAAAAACAAAAAGTATTAAAAATATATTAAAAATAGTTTATTGTAATTATTATTGTAACGTTTACTTTTGATTGAAAATTATTATTTGTCAAAATTTAACGAAATTCCTTAATTAAATCATTCATAATAAAATACAACAAAATATTTATTTTAATCCAATTCTGGGAAACATCCCCGTCTCTTTAAATGTCGCGCGGTAAGATTTTACAAAGGGTTTGCGATGGTCATAAAAAAATGAGATAACGCAATTACCTAGAATTTTAATTTTTTGATGGTATTTATTCTTTTAAGTTTCGTTTGGACATCACTTTGCTTTTGGCGATCGTGAGCGGTTGTTGATAGTGTTTTGCTATTTTTTGCTGAGCGTTTTCTTCTTTATATTTGATTTTGATAGTCTTACGACTGCGTTATTTTTATATTAAGATAGTATTAATTTATTGTTATTTTTCGTAGCGGTTTCTTGTTTTTTTTTGCTTTTGATAGTGTTAAATTAGAGTATTAAGGTAGTGATAATTTAGTGTTAAGTATTCACGATGAAGGTGTTAGGTCAACCGGAAAGTAGTTTTGCGCAAAGACTGCGAATATGTGCTCTGGCCGAGGCCGGAATACCCATTCATCAAATTTGCAACCAAGTGAATTTGTCGGTAAGATTGAATAATTTTGAATATTATGATTATATAGTAAGCTTAATTCCGATTTTATCATCTACCAATTATAATTATTTTGACAATGTAAATATACAATAGTTTAACTTTTAATAAAATAATTTTGTGCTTTTGATCTGCCCATCAATTTTGTTTTTAGAAGGCAATAAAATCTGTGTGAATTTGAAGTAAAATTTGCCCGATTTTTAATGAAACGGATGTATTTTAAGGAGCCTTGTAACTACTCTATGATGATGATATCTGACAAATTACTGCAATTACCACATGATGCCGGGCTTGGAGCGTTGGTTAAAGTTTCGCCCCCAGCATTTACTGCTCGGCATTATATTGGGGTTTTGGAAGAAATTTTTATTCCAAGTGTGAGGGCAGTATATCCTGAGGATGAGGTGGAGGTTCTGACATTTGTACAAGACAACAGCCTCATCCATTCCGCTCGGTTAGTCGAGGAGCGGTTTCAAGACAATAACAACGTAGAACGATTAAAATGGCCTCCACGCTCGCCCGATTTAAATCCCATTAAAGAGAAATCCCATTGAAGAGGTGTGGGGTTATCTGGTACGCGGGTGGGAATTTGACGAACGATTTCGGGACCGAGCTATTTTAGAAGAATACGTTATGCGGAAATGGGATAGTCTTCGTGGCGGGGATTTATGTCAGCGATTGGTCGGCTCAATGACATCCCGATTAGAAGAATGTCAAAATAATAACGGGTTNCTTCCCAAAGTCATTCGTGAGGTTTTTTGCATTATTAATTACGTCAAGTAATAACGCATTTGGTTTGAAGAAAACTTCGACGTCAAGATTGGTATCAAATAGAAATTTACTTAACTTATTGGACAAATTTCTGCCCTGGCTATCCCCAAGCAGTAGCACTCGTCCTTTATTAGCCGACACCGATGCCCCACTCATGATCGGACTCCTGAGTGAATCGTGACAGGACATCAGCGTTGGTGTTACTGAGCAGACATCCCCCGATGTCTCATCACAACGCGACGAAGTATCCAGCGGAAGAACTTGAACCATTTGAACGGGGTCCGTCGGTGCAATCTCCTGCTCCGCGACCAGTCCCGACGGTTTTTGTATCTTAGGCGCGCAAGACGGCTGAGTGGTAATTCCACCCTTCCTTAATATATTTACATCTTGGTGGGGGGTCCTTCTTCGATCTCGATCGACACGTTGACATTTATCACAATTCCGTGAAATGGATCCGCCATTTTGATTATTTTCGTCAATTTTTATGTTATTTATATGTTTTAGAGGTTCATTTCTTAATTTATTACGTTTCAAGATTTTCGTAAATTTCACTTCCAGTCTATTAATTTTAATTTGCAATTCTTTTATGATATTGAAAAGTTTTAAGGTGTTTTTCTTTTTGTCAACTACTTGCCTTTTCTCAGTTTTATCGACAATTGTGTTTGCAGAGGAATTCAGTGATTCATTTAAAGCCTCCTCCGAGTCGGCCTGGTGGATTAGATTTTCTTCTTTTTTATTATTGTACACGTGCCTTAGTCGGTCTTGAAGAATCTTTTTTGATCCACTATCATCCGCTTTATGAGATTTTAGGAGAACTTTAAGTTGTTTCACTTTAAGATTATCGATGTTAACATCACTTATCGACATGATAAACAAATAGATTGTGGTGTATTGCTTTAATATAAGAAAAGTGTTTAATTTGTGTAGCTTCGCGTCCGACACTTACGAACGATGAGTTACGAATGCTCGCCACCGTTAGAGTTATCAATCTCATACAATTTTACTTCTTCTTCTTCTTGTCGTATACGTTTAGACTTTTTAAGAAGTTCAATTATTCTTTTCAGTTTCGGATCACTGTATTGTATTAATAAAACATAATCTTCTCGACTCAAAACGTTAAGTACGTCCAGCCTATCATAAATATCTATCAGAGCTTCTGATGCTTTTTCAACCGGCGCCCTTGAGAGTGTGTCCACATGCGATATTCTTTCACCAGGTCGATATTTGAGCTCAAGGTCGTACTCCTGAAGCAACCCAAACCAACGGGCAATTTGTGGATCTTGACTCTTTTTCACGTTATGGTATACAATAGCTTGGCAATCGGTAAACACCGTAAAAGGAATATCAATCAATAGATTACGCAACCTATCCACGCGCAAACCACCACCTCCATTAACTTTAATTTAGTTGAATGGTATTTTCACTCCACTTCAGAGGTCTTACGGCTTACGTAATAGATCGGATGTAGCTTTCCGTCCTCTTGCTCTTGAAGAAGAACTCCAGCCAGACCAAGCGCACTGACGTCGTTGTGTAATTCTGTTCGATTTGTATTTACTCTGTACAGCTTTAGAACAGGTTCACTAATTAACGCCTGTTTCAAATCACAAAATGACTTCTCCTGTTCATCATTCCACTGAAAAACAGTACTTTTCTTTGTCAAATCACTCAGCGGTCTTGCTCTCACTGAATAATTGTTCACAAAACGACGGAAGAACGGCGTAAGCCCCAGAAACCTACGGACATCGTGTACACTGATGGGACGAGGAAATTTCTTTACCGCCTTTACTTTGTTCTCACTAGGTCGTAATCCCTCACTGGACAGGATGAATCCCAAATACTCCACTCTTTTCCTACCAAATTCACATTTTGATCCATTTATTTTCCATTCATTTACAATTTCTGCGATCGTTTTCCTCTCGTCAATGTTTGCGCGATATGGTTTCGATCTTACCGGCACCCCCGAATCGTCAATATCCACAGTAATCGCATTTGTGCACCCTAGTTCCGACACATTCAAGGCAAAATAGTCACGATATTTGTTGCACAAATCCACCAGTTTGTCAATCACTTCGTCTTTGGTTTCACTGTCTACCCGGAGCATATCCACTGTTATGGGTTCCTTCGACGGTATTTGTTCCGAAATAGTGTTTATATCATGCACAATCCCAACCACGTCATTCTTCATAAATTGTTTCTGATTCTCACTTTTGTTTTTCATTGGTACAAGTACATCAATGTTCGCTACCTTTGCTTTGATTAGCTGCATTGAATTGTTAGACACAATAACGTCCTCAGCCGCCACCACACACTCGCGTCGCGATCGATCAAGTTCGCTGATTTCACTAAACGGAAACGAATCATCCCAACCAAAGACGAGAGAGTCTTTAACTCGAGCGTAAGCTAACTCCGGAGCTTCCGTAAAAGATCGACCAATTATCACCGGCACGGATTGAGCGTTCTCTGGAACCACAAAAATGTCCACGTTATTTACGAACACTTCGTCCACCATTACCCGCGCGATTATCTTCTCGCTGCACTTTACTGGTTTTCCCTCTCCGAATCCCGTAAGCTCAATATTTGTTTTCTGCCGATTTTTCTCATCAACCAAGTGAGCTTGAATTGTACAAACGGCGCTCCCTGGATCGACTAAGGCCACATACTTTTTCTCGTTCAATAGGATTCGCTTAAAGTACTTTTCAATACCGCTATTGTATGTCGTTGTTGTATCTTCTATTACACGAACTTCCCTTCTATCACTATCTTCTTTTCTCCATCTGCAATCTTTACGTTGATGCCCTGGTTTGTTGCACAAAAAGCATACTGCTTCTCGTTTTAGACATTGTGATGCCATATGTCCCAACCCTCCACATCGGAAACATTTTATACCTTCTGACTTGTTTCTACGTTGATCTTGCTCACCTTCGTTTTCCCCTACGCTTTTCCGCAACATTGTACCTTGTGATTTTGTATTTTTATTTCCTGTGGTTGATTCTCTTTTTTCGTGAACTTCCTTTCTCTTTTCAATTAATCGTTCACTATTTACGATATCCTGGTACAATTCATCTAAATCGCCGTAAGACTTAACGCATAAATTACCGGCAATCACTCTCGAATAAAGACCTCGTAAGATCTCCTCTTTTATCTCGTTATTGTTTAATTGTAATGCTCTGCATAATTTATATTTATCATGATAATACGACATCACGGACTCGTTTTGTTTTTGAATTCGTTTCCGCATACGGTCCCATTTTTCTCCCGTACTAGTAGTTTCGATGAACGTTTTCTCAAATTTTACCCTGAAGTCATCCCAATTTCGGATATCGCCGCTTCGTGCGTTATACCAATCGCGTGCAGGTCCTACGAGATGGTTTCTCGCCGTTTCGATTTTAATACATTCCGGCCACTTATACATCGAAGCACTATTTTCGATACCTTGTATCCATTCTGCGGCGCACAACAAATCAACATCTCCATCGAACGTTGAAATGGTTTTGTTTAAGTCAGGCATTATTTGGAATTGCTCTGGTTTACTACTTGCAAGTTCGGCTTTTCTGGTATTAGTCTCGGCTCGCATTTCTCGCAAACATTCGGTCAGTGCGATCAACACGTTCTGCATATTTCCGCCGCCTATTCCAGTTGAATTTTCCGCCATGGTCGAAGTTCCTGCTTCGTTTAAATTGAAACAAAAGCCCCCTGTTTCTGCTTTATTCGGTTCGGTGTTGTTTGACGGCAACTCACTATGTGGATCACTCATAAGTCCAGAATAATCTTGGACGTGGAATCTGTCCAGCGAAAATCACTTCACGGTAGATCCAGACGTTTGGGCACTGCACTTCACAGTAGGTCCAGACTTTTGTGCACTTCACTTCACAGTAGGTCCAGACTTTTGGGCACTTCACAGTAGATCCAGACTTTTGTGCACTTCACAGTAGGTCCAGACTTTTGTGCACTTAACTTCACAGTAGAACTTATCCCTATCCCACTTCTGATATGTTAACTATTTAAACACACTCCTCTGAATGGCTAAACAACTCTTTATTATCCAACGGTTACACTTAATCCAACGGTTTTTTTAAACTGCTCTACTCTAAACCTTATGACTACATATGTCCAGAATCAGTTTTTATCGACATTAAGAATAATTAAGCCAAGGTCGTTTGCGACCGTGGCGCTACATTAATATCATATTGCATACAAACAAGAACCAGTTTTACCAACATTAAGTGTAATTAAATCGAGGTTGCTTGCAGCCGAGGCGCTACATTCATATCACATCACTTACAAAAAGAACCAGCGAGCTTGGCTTATTTAATTAGAGCTAACATCGTTCAATGCGGTTTGGTTTTTCAATTGATGTAACGCCTCGGCCACAAGCGACTTCGGCTTAATTAATTAGTATCACTTTTTTCTTTTCCAACTTATAATTATAAAATAAAAGACGTAACTACTGATTAAAGAAGAATCAAAAAAGAAACGAAGCTGAAGGAAGAAACAATGAGGAATAGGATTAAAAAGGAAGGAAAAACAATAAACAACATCAAACAGAAGATCAAACAACAAGACTTGATAGTTGCTAAGGTCGATAAAAATGTAGGTATCGTGATAATGCATAAACACGACTGTATAAATAGGACTAAAAATTTTCAGACTAGACAATATATACAAATATCCCAACTAATGAAACGCTAAAAATATTAAAAGAAATTCTTGACGAAAAACTAATGAATACAACAGATAGTAAAAACATATACAGGGTGTTTCTGTAAGTCATGGCATAATTTTAATCCGATAACGATACAAGCGTTAAAATGATGATACGTGTAAAAATTTTTGGTCTAAACCCAGAAATCCTTAAGATATGGACCTGTAAAGTTAAAAAATCTTTAAACATTTTCTTAAATATTTTCAATATGGTTTATCTTAGAAAAATAAAATTTGACAAACAATGCAATGTTATCAGGAGAAATCGTTTGAAATTATACAACCATGGGATCAATGTTATACAGGTGTCCCCAAGGTTATTTCCTTAAAACTTCGTCATTATGTCGTAAACCCTTAAAATTTCCAACTGATTCTAAAAACCTATTTCATTTTAAAATTATTTTCATTCTTAGAAATTTTAGATTTTTGAGTTATTTATAAAAAGATGCAACCTCGTCCGTGAAATACAGTCATTAATCGAAGACGACCATGAAAATAAATCGTAAGTAAAGCAATAAGTTAAATTAATAGTAATCAATAAAAAGTATTTTTTCTAAACACACAGCATCAATAGTACGTTTTCCCATCATAGTATGGCAAAACTGATAGTGATCTTCCCCCGGCCGCTGTGCGAGACATAATTGCCTACAGCCAGAGGAATAACGTACAAGCGGTTGTTGGATGCGCAGTACACAATGTGGGCAACCACCAACACAAATGAAAGAGGTGAGTTGCTTTTTGACTACCTATTACGGAAAGGGCTTACTGTTAATAATGTAGGCGCCAAACAAACTTTTGTTACCAGCAAAAGAACAGAGGTACTTGACATTACGTTCAGCTCAATTATATTGAGCTCCAAGATAACCTCCTGGAGGGTATCCTCTGAACCGTCGTGTTCAGATCATAGACATATTCAATTTAAAATTGACCTAGGGATGAAATCGGACTGTACGTACCGTAATCCCCGTAGCACTAATTGGGATCTGTTTAAGAGTTGCCTTGCAGATAACCTAACTAGTGTCACCGCTACCGTTAGGAACTATGATCAGATTCAAATAGCCACAGAGCAGATCTCTGTAGCAATTCGTTCTGCCTATCACAGTAGCAGTCCACTCAAGGTGAAAAGTAATAATCGGGGCACACCCTGGTGGAACGAATCTCTTAGCTCCGAAAGACAAGAGGTCCGGAGGCTTTTTAACCGGACCAAGACATTAGGTGAATGGGAGAAATATAAACAAGCTCTAATAAATTACACCAAAAACATACGTAAGGCAAAAAGAAGTCTTGGAGGAGGTTCTGTGAGGGAGTGAAAGACACACCCAGCAGTGCAAGAATTGTGCACACGACGAAGCACAGACGGTTGAGCATGTTTTATGCCACTGCCTGCTGTTAACCGTATCAGATTCTCGATTTTTGGGTCGCAGTTTATCTCCTCAAAGGATCTGAATGACCTTTCACCGATTAAGGTATTAATGTTCGTTAAGAGCATTGGACTGCACGGTGAAATTTGATTACGATATCTATCGGGGTACAATAGATCCTTAGGGTCGCGGTGTAAGGTTGGTTGGTCCGCCTACCCGATATGTAGTCTATTTAATGTAATGGCAAAACTGTACTCCCAACGGATGATCAAGCAATTTTTAATTCTTGTACTGTCGACAAGTTTTATGGATACAGTTGCTGTTAGTATGGCAAACGCCAAGCCGTACTTTTGAATATTTCGAAATGTCCGAACTGTTGATATCAACAGAATCATTAGTTATTTGCAATATTATCTCACCACTGCGTTAGCATTGCCTAAACACTCTCCCAACGTTAAAATGATGTCAGTTTGTTCACTAAAACTTTAATTATTTGTCATTTTAAACAACTATTACCGACTGATTAATGTTGGGCAATGATTTGACAGTTTCTTTACTGCTCCAGTTACAATTTGTTCTCATAGGCACCTACGATTAAGGAAAACATTTCATAATTGAGTTTGCATCTTTTTGCAAATAACTCGAAAACGATAAACAAAAAATTCTAAGAATGAAAATAATTCTAAAATGAAATAGGCTTTTAGAATCAGTTGTAAAATTTAAGGGATTATGACATAATAAAAAAGTTTTAAGGAAATAACCTTTGTGGACATCCTGTATAGCATTGATCCCGTGGTTGCATATTTTCGAAAAAGTCAATTTTTAAACTGTTTACCAAATTTTATCTTTCTAAGACAAACCATATTGAAAATATTTAAGAAAATGTTTAAAAATTTCTTAACTTTGAGAACCCATCATCATTTTAACTCTAGTATTTGTAATTAGAATTATGCCACGACATACAGGAATACCCCCTGTATAACCTATTTAATATATTATGTATACAGCAAAATGTTTGCATTTTTGACAATAAAATTTACTCTTAGAACAAAGGACTTCCAATGGGCTCCCCGCTTAGGCGATTACTTGCTGATATATTTCTGGACAAAATGGAAAGAGAATTGATATGTAATGACAAAAATCCTTAAAAAACAACATAGGAGGAAGTCCTATAACGCCGGACGGCATATAGTATCGGACACTCGTAATATTTAGGCAAGTCGTAACGTGTTCATTCAAAAACGGGTAAGGCCGCGTTTATATTGGCGAGCGATTAGCGATGAGCGTTGAACGGTAAGCGATGAGCGTTGTATTTAAAAATTCAAGTACCTGCAAATGCAACAGTGCTGTGTATATTAAACCAATGCGATGAGCGGTAACGCTAAGCGGTGGATGTGCGTTACATTTGCATTCAAGACGACTTGAATTATGAGCGATAGATACAAGCGGTCGCAGCACGTATTGAGGTTATGTGACTATTTGTTTTGAAGTTTTTCGCAAAAATGTGTTCAAAAGCAACATTTTCGAATAGTTGTCGTGAAATATTAATTTCGGAAGTGCAAACAAAACCGGTACTATGGAATGATCAACACCCAGATTACAAAAAAACGGAGATAACAAGAAAGTTATGGGGAGATGTTGGCACATGTATTGGATTATCAGGTTAGTCAAAAAACACTTAAATGTACAAGTATACACGTATATTTTTTTGTCGTTCAAAAATCTACAAAGTAATTTGCAAAAGATTCTCGTATCTGTTTCGCTCGTGCTGAACTTCTACGAGCTCCTCCGTGTCCTTCTTGAGGAGGTGGCAACCATTCTGTTTCACGCTGATTTTCTGGAAAATAATGTACCACCTCTTGACAGTAATGTAAGTCACTATTGCCATCTCGATGTCTCACAATATTATGTAAAATACACGTACATTTTACTATATTTGCCGCTTTTTCTGGGCTAACTTCGATATCCTTGCCCAAGATACGCCATTTAGCACGTAGTATGCCAAAAGCACATTCAATGCATTTTCTAGCTATTGACAAGCGATTATTGAAGTTTTCTTTGACGGGATCGAGATTTCTGGAAGGATATGGTCTCATCAAATAAGTCTTCAACGGATATGCCTCGTCACCAATTAAAACATGAGGTACTTTAATGTTTGTACCAAATAGTTCTCTGTCTGGCGGCATATTAAATCCTTATTTTCAAGTAAATTAAAGAGTTGCGAAGATGAAAATATTCCGCCATCACTTCGCTTTCCTCTGGCGCCAACCTCGATTGTGATAAATTTTTTGTCAGCATCAGCTACTGCTTGTAAGACCACAGAGAAATACTTCAGATAATTAAAAGCGAGAAAAAAAAAAGCGAGAACCACTTCCTGGTGGGCATTTTATTTGGCAGTGCTTGCCGTCAATTGACCCTACGCAATTTGGAAACTTCTAACGTCTGTAATATCCTTCTGCTACAGTTTGTAATTGCTCTTGGAACTGGCATGAATTCGTCAACAAATTCATTCCATATTATTTCACATGTTTCATGAACAATTTTACTAACGGTACAAACTCCCATTCTCAGAGTTGTTGCTAAATTTCGGAATGAGAGTCCTGTAGACAAGAACCTGAAATATCATAACAACTAATTAAATACAAATTCTTTCCAGGACAAGCTGCGAAGGGGAAGTGGAAAAATTTAAAAGATAAGTTTCGGGTTGAACTGCATAAAATTCCGAAAAAACGCTCCGGCTCAGAAAATGACAATTATAAGTCAAAATGGCCATTTTTTGATATGATGCTATTTGTAAAAGATAGCATGCTTCCAAGTACAACAACTGGCAACCTCTCGAAGGAACCCGAGAACACCGATAGTGAGGATGAAGAACAAACTGCAGAAAACGTTAATAATGAAGAGTCAGATACCATACAACATGAACCTTCATCACCATCAACTAGCTCTTCACGTCCTTCATCTTGTACAACGCAAAGAAAGACATTCGCAACACCAACATGTCGTAATAAGAAAAGACCTGCACAAAACGAAATCGACAGACATTACTTGGAATTAGAGCAAAAGAAACTAGATTTATTAGAGCAGGAATTTAAGAAAGATGTTGATATGACAGGTAACCCCGATTATCATTTTTTAATGAGTCTGCTGCCCTATTTTACGGACATGGACTGTTTAGAAAAATTGGAAGTGCGAGCAAAAATACAAGAAGTTATCACCGAGGCCGTGCGACGCAAACAAAACACTATGCAGTCTGTTCAACGTCAAGAAAATTACACAAATCTTCAACTTTACGGAAATGAAAACTTCGATCAAGTACGATCCCAGCCTAGATTACATACAAACTCTGGCGAAAATTTAACAGTGGGAAAAGGTATTCAATATCAACCAATTAGTCAATGTGACGAAAATTATAGCATGTTTCGGCTTGACCCGGGAAAATATAACAATAGAAGATTCTGGGTCTGCAGAATTACTCTATACATCTAATTTTATGCAATAAATATTAGTGTACTTGTCACTATTTTTGTGTACCTACCTTAATGTTAAATAAAGCCTTTCTACTGGAGATATGGGTCTCTTAAAATTAGTTACTTTCTTCCGAAGCCTGTCCTTAATTCGTATCAAAATATAATCGAAAGTGTCAATAGACATGCGTAAAAATTCGAAAAATTTAGACGGATCTCTTCGTAGATCATAGTACAGTTGGTGAAATTCACCGTTTGTCAAACGAGTTCTGTTTAGGTAATGCACTCCAATTCTTTTCTTCCGCTTCCTTAATATAATCTTTCTAAATAAAATAGGATTTTCTAATAACCACAGCAAACGCACTGACTTCGGCAGCATGTTTACCACGGGACTGATACTAAATAAGCTGTGCTACGACTCTGCTTAATATACACACTTCATCGTTATAACGCTCAACGTTCATCGCTCACCGCTCATCGCTAATCGCTCGCCAATATAAACGCGGCCTTAAGCTAATGTGCGGAGATAATAATGCGTAGGTGGGAGTGCGAAAGCGGTAATGCATTGAAATACAAAGAATAATATTTAAAATTTAAATGGTTTAGCGCGTACTAAACAGCGTGTTTGTGTAAAAAACTAATGCCAATTCTACTATCACATCCTTCAGAACTTGATTTAAAAGGAAAGGCTGAAGAATTTTGGAATCGTTGGAATTTTGGAATTGGAATTTTAACGTTATCGTAGCCATCGACGGAAAACACGTACGAATGATGTGGCCAGATAAGAGCGGCTCCCTATTTATTAACTATAAAAGTAATTTTTCAATAGTGCTGTTAGCTTTTGTTGATGCTAATTATAAATTTCTTTATGTGGACATTAGATCATATGGGAAAGGGGGTGATGCAGGTATTTTTTCAACATCTGGAATTGGACATCAAATTTACTGTGAAAAATTCAATTTCACTCAACCTACGTTACTTCCCCGTTCAAAAAATGTGATTTTACCGCATGTTATTGTTGGAGATGATGCGTTTAAACTTGATAAATATCTCATCAAACTTTACCCAAAAAAACAAGTTTTAAGGTACGGTCTATCTGCAGCGATTAATCGATACGACTAAACGTAACGATAAGACGCGCTGGTTGCTGCATATACATATGCACGTAGGCGGTCTATTTTCTGCGACAAATTATTAAAATATGGCGAAATATAATAAAGGTCACAGATTACGATTTTCAAAAGAAGAAGATGAAACTCTGATTAATGAAGTCGCTCAGCATTCTGCCATCTACGACCCTAAACATAATCTATATAAGCATCAAAATGTACGAGATAATACCTGGGAGAACATTTCACAGGTGGTAAGCAAAAGTGGTTAGTATTTGGTGGATCAAAAAACGATGACAAATTAAAAATATGTGTGCTTTATATTTAAGTGGAGGAGTGCAAGAAGAGATAGAAAAGTTTGAAAGATGTTTACTGGAAAAACAAAAAAGAAAGCAAACACGGAACAGGTTCAGCAGCCAGACGAACCATCAAATGGGAACATATGGATGCGCTAGCTTTTCTTGATAGAGTGGCGACATATAGACAGTAAGACGCATACTGGTAAATTATTGAGATAACTGTAAATTTAATCATTGTTTTTAGAACCATAACCAACGTAACTGCAAATGAGGAAGATAATTCAGCGCAAGCAGTACACAATGTAACTAATGAAGATATCTTGGAAAAAAGAGACGGAACGACAGAATTGGAGGCACCGGAAGACAAAATTATTTTTTGCGAGTATGGCAGAAACTGTCATGACATTTCCACCAGCGCTAGCTGCTCGGGCTAACATGCGAGTAATGGAAGTAATAAGTGAATTAGAGCTGGAAAGTTATGGAATCAGTTCTACATCATCGTAAGGCTCCCTAAACCGAGTGTCTGTCCGTACCGGTCCTTTGAGTTCTATTTCATCGTATACTCCTGCGAGACTCTGATGCTACAACAGCTTATACAGACTCGAGTTACGCGACACCAAGTTCCGTTGAGCAACCGAGAGAGTACGAAGACTGTGCTGATTTATTCAGCACCACAACTTTTTAGTTAAGACAATAAAGCTTGTANAACACCGATAGTGAGGATGAAGAACAAACTGCAGAAAACGTTAATAATGAAGAGTCAGATACCATACAACATGAACCTTCATCACCATCAACTAGCTCTTCACGTCCTTCATCTTGTACAACGCAAAGAAAGACATTCGCAACACCAACATGAAAAGACCTGCACAAAACGAAATCGACAGTCATTACTTGGAATTAGAGCAAAAGAAACTAGATTTATTAGAGCAGGAATTTAAGAAAGATGTTGATGAACGAGTCTGCTGCCCTATTTTACGGACATGGACTGTTTAGAAAAATTGGAAGTGCGAGCAAAAATACAAGAAGTTATCACCGAGGCCGTGCGACGCAAAAAAAACACTATGCAGTCTATTCAACGTCAAGAAAATTACACAAATCTTCAACTTTACGGAAATGAAAACTTCGATCAAGTACGATCCCAGCCTAGATTACATACAAACTCTGGCGAAAATTTAACAGTGGGAAAAGGTATTCAATATCAACCAATTAGTCAATGTGACGAAAATTATAGCATGTTTCGGCTTGACCCGTGAAAATATAACAATAGAAGATTTTGGGTCTGCAGAATTACTCTATACATCTAATTTTATGCAATAAATATTAGTGTACTTGTCACTATTTTTGTGTACCTACCTTAATGTTAAAAAAAGCCTTTCTACTGGAGATATGGGTCTCTTAAAATTAGTTACTTTCTTCCGAAGCCTGTCCTTAATTCGTATCAAAATATAATCGAAAGTGTCAATAGACATGTGTAAAAATTCGAAAAATTTAGACGGATCTCTTCGTAAATCATAGTACAGTTGGTGAATTCACCGTTTGTCAAACGAGTTCTGTTTAGGTAATGCACTCCAATTCTTTTCTTCCGCTTCCTTAATATAATCTTTCTAAATAAAATGGGATTTTCTAATAACCACAGCAAACGCACTGACTTTGGTAGCATGTTTACCACGGTACTGATACTAAATAAGCTGTGCTACGACTCTGCTTAACATACACACTTCATCGTTATAACGCTCAACGTTCATCGCTAATCGCTCGCCAATATAAACGCGGCCTTACCCATGACTGACAAAGTGTTGAATAATGAAGCCATTATTCCACAGTTCTGACACGGCCTACTAATCAAAAAAACAAGATGTCACAGAAATGACAGCTTTCTTATATTGAGGTTATGTCTGAAATGTCTATCAAGTTTATTTTTTTCCTTTTTTTTGACTTTTGTTTCAAAATTAAATAGTTGTAGATAAAGTATAGTATTCAACTTGCGTATATTGGATGTTACCCACTCAAATTACTTCATCTTCGTGGGTAACAGCCGCCATTATACGCTTGTTGAATAATATACTATTATTGCATTGCGTACAAGATTAATCAAAATATTTAATAAAGGTTATTGAATCTGAAGTTGTTGTGTAGCCCAAAATCGAATTAACAGTTCCTACCTAGAATTGTTTATCTCTCTCAATTACTCCAGGGATCCGCAAACAACGACGTTGTGGACCTCGGGGCAAATAAGTAAATATAAATCACGTTGGGGGCGCTTGGAGGAAATATGTGTCCCCCAGTTGTTCTGCGGTGTCAGGTGTGAAGGATGGAGGCTCCACATCCGCTCCATTGCAAAGCTGCTCGTCTCCATGGCGACGCGGTCCTTTGCAGGATCGAACCGGATTCGTTATAACTACCACTACGAGATAAATTTCAACTTATTCAGCTCGAAATTTGAATATTTATCTTATCAAGTTCGATCGAAAATATATAAATTTAATTTTTTAATACTATCAAAATAATTTAATTCTTCATAAACAATTGATAGTGACTCAATTTTTAGAATAAAATCTATAATTTTAAAACTAACTTGTTTCGTAACTTCATTCAAGTTCTGAGATAGATGAGAAATTTAATGCAACCTTCAAAGATTTGATTCCAAAACAATTACTGAACAATAACATGTAATATATTTCATTTGCAATGTATGTAAATATTGAACACGATAAAGTATTATTTCAGTTGCAGTTTAATGTAAGTATTTATTACGCAGTGGTACCATTAACGCCTTTTCCGGATTTATCAAAGCTTTTTAGGTTGCATTCACCAACGTTAAAAACGTCGAGCTCTTAAAAACTTTTAGCATCGTTAAAACGATCTCAATAAAGTCGTAAAAATCATAAGTCTATAGAAATAGTTTTCCACCAAAATATAACGTTTCTACATTTCTAACATACATTAAAATCTTCTGTAACAATGACCCTTTTAGACACAGGAAAGGATTTCAATGCACGCTGGCTTCTCGATAATTTAATTTCTCAATGAACTGTTAACCAGGTTATCCCGAATTTCCAGACTATGTCATTTCATATCATTATCGCGCAACCCCTACGATTATGCAGGGATAAAACAAACTAAATTGAACTGAACTGAACAGGGCCCTATTGGAGCCCTGGTATAGTCACCCTAATCACATGAACCTGTTTAGGGATTTTCCAAAGATTAGCTGAAACATGCATCTTCTTTCCTGAAGCGAACAAACCACAAAACCCCCTGCTTAATGATTTTTTAGCAAATGATGTAGATGTTGACCCGGTTTTATTTGCAATCCCACAAAGATAGATCATGTGGGATTGCAACTCAGATTAGTTGTGTTAATATTCTCAAAATGGAAAGTTATCCAATTATGGCTCGACGTTGATACATTGGCGGAAGCTCGCCGATTATGGATTGAATGTAGGTGTAGGTTTCAGTAATAACGATTTATTAACCCAGGATTCTTGGATGAGTACAATATTATTCATCATATCGAGCTGGAAATAGGTAAAATTTGGAGTCTTAGAGTCGGCAATGAATGATTTTACTGTCGATTGGGTTCCCTCTTTTAACCTGTAACACAGGCTCCATTTCCCTTTAACCAATTGATCAACTTGTAGAACTTTTCGTGGCAAGAGACACTCCAGCTGGCGATATCTGTGTGCCCTTTGATTTAAGGTCTATGTCATACGTCTGAAACCAGATTTGGACACTCGACATGGAAGGATGATGAAACGTATGCTTTTAGCTAGTGTTCGTTTCGAAGTCGAGAGAGGGTTTAGGAGGGGTTATGGAACGTTGCCTCTTATGTTGCCCCCATTGCTTATGCTGCGAGCGTTGCTTTCTCTGCATTGTTGCGGGTGTCGCGCTTTACCTACCGATGGGTTAGGTCTATGAGGGGCCCCCTAAACGAGTTCCTTCTCGGCCTCCTTCGATATTCGGACTCTTTACGAAGAAGACGAAGTGGTGCTCTTAGAACTTATTCCCCTCTGAAAACAAAATTTAACCCTTATAATGATATACAGGGTGTCTCAGCGATACCGGTCATTAGACGTTTCTAAGGTTCAGGCGAAAATAAGAATTTGAGAATTCAGACTTAAGTATTATTAATTACGATCTCTTTGACTAAAATATTTTTAGATTTCTTACACTTCCGGTTATACCGGAAGTCGCCACCTACTTTATTTTTTTAAATGGAACATCCTGTATATTTTTACTTATTTCGATTTGTCTATTTTCAAGGTTTATAAATTACGTTACTTTTTGCAATTTGATTCGGCCGTTCTCGAGTTATTCGAATTTTTCTAGAAAAATCTGCTCCAGCAGACATTTGTTCAAAAAATCAGAGAACACTCGATTTTTGGGATTTCACTTTAGGATTCAGAACATGCTTAAGCAACATGATGGAGTATGTTTTGGTGCCTAGAACGGCTGTCTAGAACGTTTGGTCACTTTACTATGGCACGTTAACTTCTCGAAATTTGGAAGTACCATAACTTCATTTTTTTAAATGGCACCCCCTATATTTTATTACTTAGTCGTCTTCGGTGTCTCATTCTACATCTTTTATATCCCATATGTCCCATACCTAACATTAATAGTTTGGGAGATAATTAGGGTTTTTTGAAAAATGCACACATATCATATGGATATTTAGCCTAGTGTGCTATGGAAAACAAATGTTTAATGACTTATTGACAAACGTCAAAGTCTGATTTACGTTGATTGATGCTTGTGAGTCTAAAACCAGTTAAAATGGATATTAATAACGTATAATATATAAAACTAACGTATAATAACAAAAAATTTGCTTCTATTCTTCTAAATTTACCTTTTTTTTTTGAACAAATGTCCGCTGGATCAGATTTTTCTAGAAAAATTCGAATAACTCGAGAATGGCCGAATCAAATTGCAAAAAGTAAAGTTATTTATAAACCTTCAAAACAGACAAATCCAAATATGTACAAATATACAGGATGTTCCATTCAAAAAAATAAAGTAGGTGGCGACTTCCGGTACAACCGGATGTGCTAGAAATCTGAAAATATTTTAGACGAAGAGAACGTAATTGATAATACTTATAGTTCATTTTTTTTCTATAATACCTGTCAATTTGTTGTAAAGTTGGCAAAATTAACAGAGAGTTTTGTTTTATCATGTTTTGAAGTAAATATGTCACATTGACGTTTGAGCTTTCGTTATTAAAAAGAAAAGGTGCAGTAAAAGTGTTGTGGGGTGTTTATTTGCCATTTATTTACCTAGAAAAGGTATTTTATTCTATTAATTACTTTGTAGCACGTTTTTACAACAAATATGTACTTCGTTAAAATCGTATTTATCTAAAAATGTATTAGTATTTTAACCTCAACTATTTAGTTACTGAAAATGTTACTAAAAATCAGGAAAACAACATAAATTTTATAAGGGTCCTAGATAATACCAACAGAAACTCTAAATAATTTACATTGACAAGTATTATAGAAAAAGAACGAACTATAAGTCTGAATTCTCAAATTTTTATTTAGCCTGAACCCCAGAAACGTCTAATGACCGGTCTCGCTGAGACACCCTGTATATGTAGAAACGCAATTAAAACAACGTAGACAAAAACTTATTTAAAATAGATATAAAATAGTTATTAAAGAAGTTTTTTCGAAACA